TTGAGTTTATTACATGTTTTTTTTACCCCCTAATTTCTCTTATGAGGATTAAAGTATTGTATTGACTCTTGTGGTTTTCAAATCTTACTTCTATCTCAATTTATGTTAATAAAACTTTATACTAAGTTTTAGTGATCTGCTTTAGAATGCATGATTTTCCCTTAATAGGAACTTATCTGGATTTACCAAAAAGTGTACTTTTAAATTTAATATATTTCTGAGCTGTTATTTAAAATTAAGACCTAACCCCAACCCCAAACCCATTGCCAGCAAGTTGATTCTGATTCACAGCAAACCTACATAAGGTTTCCACGACTGTAAATCTTTAAGGGAATAACCTCATCTTTCTCCAAAGGGAGTGGCTGGTGGGTTTGAATCACCGACCTTGCAGTCAGCAGCCCCAATGCCTAACTCACAGCACTACCAGGGTCCTTAAAATTAAGACAGATGTATATTTCAATACATCTCAAAGTAAATATGGCTAGTAATTTATTATATAAATGTTCCTTTATATACCAAGTAATTCAACTATCTGAAGTAATTTCCCTAAAATTTTTATAAATAATATAGAAATTTGCGGATCTTAATGAAATATGACTATATATATATATTCTTCTGATTAGCAAAGGTTAGGAACATTTGTATTATATAATTGAATAGTATGGGAAAATAATTTTCAGATAACCACTAAAACCCAAATCCACTGCCACTAAGTCAATTCTGACTCACAGTGAACCCATGAAGACAGAATTGTTGCTGTTGTTAAGTGCCATCATGTCATTTCTGATTCATAGCAACCCTGTATGGGGTTTCTGAGGAGTAGCTGGTGGTTTGAACTGTCAACCTTCTGGTTCACAGTCCAGTACTGAAGCTCCAGAGTCACAGTAGGTGTAGAGGATAAAGTAGAAGTGCCTTTTTGGGTTTCCAGGGCTATAATCTTTACTGCAGTAGACAGCCTCTTCTTTCTCCTGCACAATGGCTGGTGGCTTAGAACTGCTGACCTCTTGGTTCACAGTCCAACTAGTAACCCACTATGCCACAGGGATCCTTAGTAGAGTTGACTCTGACTCACAGCAAACCTGTATAGGGGTTTCTGAGGCTGTAAATGCTTACATAATAAATAGAGTCCTGGTGTGACACTACAAGGTAAGTGCTAGACTGCTAACCACAAGACTGGGGTTTCAAACTACCAGCTGCTCCTCAGAAATCTGATAATAGGGTTTGAATCACAACTGCTATGAGTTAGAACTGACTTGATGGCACTTAACAACAACAAATATTTTCTGAAGCAGAAAGCTTTATATTTCTCTAGCACAGTGGATGGTGGATTTGAACTGCTGACCCTGTGGTTAGCAGTCCAATGTTTATCCTGCGGCATTAGCAGGGCTACTAAAATAGCCTTTTTGTCTGCATTGGCCAAGAAATGAACCTGGGTCAACTGCTTGTAAGGCAGTCAAGCTAGCCACTATACCACCAATGCTTTGACAAATTTTCAGATAGCTTCTAAAATTCAAGCATCCATGTCAAGCAAAACTTGTCTGAGCTATCTGATTTAATATTTTTACTTTGAGTGTCTCAGACCAGGTTTTGCTGATAGAAACTTTTCAGACTGGCTATTTAAACAAAACGTTCATGTTTACTGTTCTCATCTGAAATTACTGTTTTTATCCTAGAATTTTCTTTAATGTGGTGCCAACTGATGTCTCAGTAAGGTTTAAAAAAAAAAAAAAAAAATTCAAGAAGTCCACCTGAAACCCAACCCAACCAACCAATCAAACTGTTGATAAAAAATCTATTATTTGACTAAAAGGAGGTCACCTTTTTGCCAAATAATAGATTGGCTTATAAATATTATCTGTAGGTAATGCACTCTAAATAATATACTATATGAGAACAAGTGGTCAATATTTATCCAAAAGCAAAGGTGAGAAGGCAAGGAGAAAGAAGGGAAGCTAGTTAATGGGAACAGAATAAACAGAACGGACATAATGAGACGACACATTTTGAAAACTACAACCAACTAAAATCATAGAATAATTTATATCAAAACTGTCAAAATAGGAACCTAATCTGCAGTGTAAACTTTCACCTAAAATGCAATAAAATGTATATACATATATAAAGGAAAATGGTAGAGCCAGAATTCAAAGTCAGGCTTTCCAATCCTGACCAAAAGGAGGAAAATGATGAACCAAATTTCAAACATTCAAGGAATCCAGATTTTATGGAGCCACTGAAGCTAGATGAACCTGTGAAACTATTGCCCTGAGATAATCTTTAAATCTTGGACAAAAATATCCCCTGAAGTCTTCTTTACACCAAATAATAATTTAGCCCAATGAATATAGAATGTCTGCCCAGAGCACTGAGTTCTTTTAAAGAACTATGTATATATATGGGACACCACAGTAATTTGAAGGATTAGTAGGAACCGTATTAGGCAGTGAGTTTATGTTAGTTGGAGAGGAACACTTTGGGAAAGGAGGGTGAGAATGGTTGGCCAACTTGAAGAATGTAACGGATGTTACGGAATTGTACATGTACAAACTGCTGAATTGGTTATATGTTCTGCTGTCTATGTTTTCAACAATAACAGCAAAAAAAAGTACATCTTAAAACAACGAGACAATTCCTTGGTCATGGGTGCAGTTGTTTTATGTTAACTGCAATCTTGATTTTGCCCATTTTAGCTACTTCATAAAGTATGCATGAATACTATGTGCTTTAGATCAGAAATAGTTTGCATTTGCGCAATAAATTTGAGTTCCTGTTGTAAAGGATATAAGAAACAAACAGTTTTACATTATAATCTAATGTAATTGAATCTATTTTTCACCACTTTTTAAAAATATTCAAGGCAGTTTTTTTTTTTAGAAAGGAAAGTACAAATTTTCCCATATACACCTGTGTGTTCCATTTCCGATTGTGTCTTAATTGAAAGGATGGAGAACACAAAGTATCTAGATGAACATCAGGATCAGGCAAACTGAGAAAGAGGTAAAGGTCAGAAGGTAAACAACTTCTATGGAGACAACAATGTGTATAAAAGTATCTTATGGGTAAGAATTTGTATTTTCCAGGTAAAATTAGTTACCTTTCTAGAGATACTCAAAAGGCAATAAATGGAAAAATTATGCTCAAGGAAATAGGTGAAAACTACAAAACTTTTATGAGTATCATGAGGGAAAACCAAAATAATTAAAATTAAGAAAAAAAAAGTTTTTTTTTTTTTATTAGGAAAGTAAGAATTTTCAGTAAGTATCTTGCTTTGTACAGAGGAAAGAGAGACTATACCTGGGGAATGAAACCATAATTTGTAAAAGGGTACTGGAGTCCTGATGTGGTGCTGCAAGGTTAATGTACTGGACTGCAAAGTCGGTTTGAACCTCAAGGTTGGTGGTTCAAGCTCACCAGCTGCTCCTCAGAAACCCTATACAGGGTCACTATGAGTTGGAACCAACTTGATAGCACTTAACAACAACATATACATATTGTATATGTACTATAAAAATGGCAAACTATGTCTGTGGGTTTCATGAATTAATACCCTCACAGCTTATCCACATCTGGGTAAAGAGATGTTTCAGGTTTTGTGGGTGAGCTCAGCGGGTTTCACAAGAACTCCTGAAGGTCCTTCCTGAATAGTTTCTTCTTTATGTTATTGTCTTCAAATTAATCAACAGACCACATAATCAAAGACAAGTAATTTAGAAAAAAAAAATCACTTTCTTGATGTCTTTCAGAACAAGGGAGTATATTACTTGCCACTGAACATTCTTTTCATTTGGTAAGTCTATATTTAGTGGATTTCTCCAAATCTTATTTTTGTTAATCAAGTCAAGGCTCCTGAATTTTTATCAATGGACTAAAGCTAGAACTTTAAAGTCTGAGTTTTCAACTTAAAATAAGTGAAGATACAACTGTCACATATAAGAAATTATATATAAATATCATTAAGCTTACACAATGTGCCATGCCATGATTCACCATAAATATATCTTATGATATCAGAATACAGGAGGAATTATATATGAATCATATTGTTTACATAAATTTTCATCAAAAGAAGAATATGTGTAAGGCAGACTAAACTACCAGATCATAATAAATTCATTTTATATGGACTGGAAGATAAAATATACAAAAAGGTCTTCCTTTCAAAGCTTAATGTATAGAGTTTGTTATATAAAATAGAGAAATGACCAAACTTCTTTGTGTAGAAAAATAAATGAACACAAATTCCATTTTAGAAAGGAACAGCAGAAAATAATTTAAAATTTAAAACTGTATACTTATTGTGTGCCAAACGGTGTTTTAAGAGCTTTGCACAGTGACTCATTTAGTTTTCATAATTTTATAAGGTAGTAATACTATTCTTATTTTACAGATAAGGAAACTGAGCTCAGAGAGGTTAAGTAAGCTGTCCAAGGCTACAGAGCTAAGGAAGTGATGAACAGAATGTGAATCCAGGTAATCTGGCTCTCAGAAGCTATATTCATAAACATCCATTATCCTCTCATACCTCTGTTTACACTATCCTCTCTGCTTGAATGCTCTTTCTTTGATCCACAAGATTAATTCTTATTTATCCTTCAAGATTAGTTCAATTCTCACATTTCTCAGAAGTGTTTCCTGATATTACCACCTCTTCCAGGTAAGTGAGAACGCCCCCTTCCAGAACACCCTGTGCATGTTTTGTTTATATATATACATCTAGATTGTGGATTATTTGCAAGAACTTTCTGCTCTTTCAGAGCAGCATAGTGACTGACTGACTCACAATGGGAATGTAATTAATAACCCAAAAGATTAGTACTGATCAAATGTATAAGAAACAAAATACACCATTCAAGTATTGTAACTGTTCAAACACTGGGGAGGATTCCATCATCTATATATCAGCAGACAGAAACTCAAAGGTCTTAATACATAAGAAATATTTACCTTGGAAAGTAGACATATATTTAAGAGTAGAAACTATAATGTTTAAAAAAGGATACAAGTTTTGATACAATGGAATCAGTGATTTCAGAGCACGGCTTGCATTTATAGCTGTTGCCCGAACCATAATGGGTAGAACCTTTCCATTCACAATAGCACCATCAAAAAGTGGACCAAAGAAGGGAACCTGATTGAAAAATAAGAACATAATTTTGTAGTCAAATGCATGCTAAGAAGGTTGTAAACAAAAATAATCAAGACAGTGCTTACATAAAAAGATGTTTTGTTCCCTGTTTGGTTCTTTTTTTAGTAGAAATAATTAAAATTAAATTATTTTCCATGATTGGTTATTCATACTAGGGAAATAAACAAACAGAAAAGCCAGGTCTACAAGGTGTCCATTCAAAATAACTTACGTACGGGCTTTTTGCAATTAACTAAATAATTTATACAATCTGAAAATTTTCAAATTTTTGGAATCTCAATTATCAACAAAAATCCAACACTGGAAGTAAATTCCTTTTTCTCTACTGAAGGAAGATAAATAATCTGTTAGGAAGGAAGTTAGTTTTTCATTATCCTTGTGATAACTAGCTTTACGACACAATCTAAAACACTTTGATGACATGGTTTAATAGAAAAAATATTTATGTTTTGATAATTCATTTTTATCAGGCAATTTCATGTTATTCTACTTGGTTATGGTTGGTACACAAATGGTATCTGAAGGCATTAAGTAGAGCGTGTGGATAATACTTTATTTAGTCTTTGTGACCACATAGGGTCTCTGTCACATGTTCTCTGATTTTTTTTTTTCCAGGTACTTTAAAAATGTAAAAATCATTCTTCGTTTGTGGGCTATATAAAAACAGAAAATGAGCCCTAGTTTGCTGGCCTCTGGTTTAGATGAACCCTAAATAACTTGGCCAGGTTATAAGTTTAAATTCACACATGAGGAATTTAACCTTATTCAAAAAATCATGAAGATCCATGATCACCTATAAACTAAAAGCACTCAATAGAAAAGGAAAAGACGGAAGATTCCAAAATACTGTATTACCAAACTTTTACTAATAACTTCTAAGAGAAGTACTTGGTTTTCTTTCACTTTGTAGAATTTTTAAAGTGACATGACTAAGTAATTACATAATCTTAATAAAATATATCAGGTTAAAGGTATAGGAATCATAATTTCCTCTTTTAAATTGTTTATTCAATTTTTATTGTGTCATTCAGAAACTGTAATTACCGTCTTAGTAAAAGGCAAGTCCTTTTGTGTGCTCAGTACAAAAGAACTTTCACTCTGGCATATACAACCTTGTATTTGGACACAGTTTCTTGCTACTGATCTTGGTATAGCTCTTTTATATCAGGTTTAGACAATCCAGTCTGTCTCATTCCCCACCCCCAACACTTGATGCTTAGTTCAATCTTTCTTTTGTAATTTCTTTGGTTGGAAAGAAACCCACAAACCTGTTTAGAAGTTAAAATGGAAGATAGGACGTTCTTACCTCTGGTTTTTTCATTATCTGGATACTGAACATGTGATTTTTCATTGGATATATTACAATAAGGACATCGCCAAATTCTGTAGGAATAATTCCTCTCCTGTAGTCTCTAGTATGCTCTGACCAAACAATGTGTACTTCATCATTTCCTAAATGTCTCAACTGGAAAATCAAGAAAATAATTCATAGTTCTTAAGAAAAGCATCAAAAATATAGTCATATAGCTATTGACTGAATAATATAAAAAGGGAAAAGAAATAAAAAAGATTAGAAAATTTCTATTTAATAATTTCACAACATGTGACACAAATATGGCAAGATATTTTGAGATACTGCTAAAGACTAGATAATTTTCAACTGTATAGTCAAGGGAGCAGTCCTGGTGCAGCACTTTAGGATAAGCACTGGAGTGTAAGGTAGGTTTAAATCGCAAGGTTGGTGGTTCAAATCCACCAGCCACTCCTAGGAAACCTTATACAGGGTTGCTATGCATTGGAACTGACTCAACAGCACTTAACAAGAACAACACAGGCAATGGGCAAGATTCCTTGTAGTGTAGCGGGCTATGAGTTGGACTGCTAACTGCAAGATAACTGCCCACCTTGTAGTTCAAACCCACTTTGCAGTCCAGCGCATTAATCCACAGCATCACATCCAATTAGATAATAAATACTCATATATAGCAAAGACCCTCTTATTAATTAGCAACTTCTAACTACTTATCCAAGGAGCTCTGGTAGCATAGTGGTTACGAGTTGGGCTGCTAACCTCAAGGTCAGCAGTTTGAAACTACCAGCGGTTCCGTGGAGAAAGATGAGGCTTTCTGCTCCCATAAAGATTTACAGCCTTGGAAATCCTGTACAGGGCTGCTATATGTTGGAATCGACTCCTCGGCACACCACCACCACCAACTATTTATCCATTACTTTCAGATAACTGGGTACACTGCAGGTGGATTAGTTAAGAAGGGAAAAATAGGACTTCTTCATACTGCCATCAAAGTATACAGTATGAGCTAACTTAGACACATTTTTTATTTTTGAAATGTGTAATTCTGCATCAATTCTTCCCTACCAAACCTTTTAGAAGAGTGTTTTAACAAGTAGCAAAACTGAGTGATTTTACGTCCTCTTTTTTTCCCTGACTACTGTCTGGAAGTGCTAATGAGCAGTGAAGTAGCCTTAAGGAGCTAACAGGAAGAGAAGTAAAAGAAATAGATAATTCATAAATTGGATAATCACCTAGTGAGTAAGTTGATTATATTTGGTTTAACAAATTTATTTTCAGGTTTGCTTACCTAAGAAACCTAAATATTCTTCCAAATAGGTTACTTGGGATTTGTTAGACCCTCACGATATTATTTAAACATTTGTGGTGCCTTCAAAAGTGCTAATGACATTCAAAGACTTACTGTTATGGTAATTAAAACTATATAAAAGCAGAGTATCTTAAAATTAGATTTTTAATAAATTATAGGAAAAATTAACTTATTATTTTCAAGTTTTCTTCATAGTGATGACTGTATAAATATGTATTTCAATATAAAATTTGGTTATTCTAGTTCATTTACTGATTCTGCTACTGCAACTATTTAAGTTCACTTTTGGTACATATCTTATGTGGGCTTTTTCCCCATTTCTTTTATATAACTGAGCATATTGCTGGTCGAAAAAATAAAGAAGAGAAAAAAAGATAAGTGTTGTCAGTATTTACATTATAAGCACACTTGCAGGGAATTTCTCATTTTGAATTATAAAATTTATTTACGCTTAAAGAGAAATATATTAATGTGCAGTTTTAAGCAAAGAAAATAGCTAAGTACAATTAGTAAAAGGTTTTAAACCTGGAGTTGTTATCCTGGGTTCAAGGGATCTGTGAATACTTGAAATTTATTTGTAAAACTGTACTCGTGCATTTTTCTGAGGGTATGCTAAGGACTGGTGTTCTCATAGTTCTTAAAACCCTCAAACACTGATCTGTCTAGGGAATACTTTAAAATTTGCATTTCTAAGTAAGAAATGCCCTCTCAGATACTTAAGAGGATTATAGGAATGAGGCCAATATAACTCTGAAGATAGTGCCCAGCTAAATCCATAATACAGAATCAAAAATCTGAGAAGTGACTATTAGGAAAGGTTTAAGACTTTTTATTTTTTTAGGCTTAAAAGGATAAAACCTGTTTTTCTTTTATAAATCATAGCATTCTTATTGTTTTAAATACATGGTGGTAGGGCCTCAAAATTAAAATATTGTTTAAAGTTTTAATTCTCATTAACTTGTACAATAAAAAATAACATGAATGATACAAATGTGGAACTTGAGCTTTGTGACATTTTTAAAAAGCAAAAAAGATTATACAACTCAGAAAAGTCATGGCTTTATAATTTCATTTTTTAATCAAAATACTTTAAAAATATCCTTCCTATACAGCCATCCCCATGTGTCAGCTTCCCTAATAGGTTTATGTTAACTGAATACAAAAGAAATGTGAAATAAATTTAACCAGGAGGGATGATCCAATCTAATTTTGATACATTAATGTCATATGCTGTACATGTTACAATAGCAGCCAGATCTAATACTATGCTCCAGGCTATACTGAAATTTCCAAATGGCAGATTGTTCTAAGTGATATCAAGTATAATTGAAGTAATAAACGATAGTAAAAGCTGAGCACACTGTCAGAAAGAATTTAAGTATTTACTTTTTAAAATTAAATGAGTTAAGTTAGGAGAGACAAGACAACTGAAATAATGCAGGTCTCAATTTACAGAAAATTCCTTTTATTTATCTGCTACATTAACCCTTGAACTTTTGCCAAAACTATCTATAATTTCTAGTGCCCACTTATCTAAAGAAACGAGGGAAAAGGGCAACCACACTTTTATAACCAAAGCTTGTCTTCAAATATCTACCATACAGTATTAAAAATCTGTTAAAGATTCATGAATTCATATTCAAATGCTAAAAATGTAATTTTTATATGCTGTCATAACGAGGCATGTAACGTACTGGTGTGGGATTGTCAAAACAGGTACTGGATTGCTGACCACAAGAGGTCAGTGGTTCACACCCACCGGGTGCTCTTTGAAAACCCTATCAGGGTTTCTATGAATTGGAACTGACTCAATGATACTTAACAACGAGGCAAGTTTCTGTATCTCTGTATTTTAAAAACCTGCTGATAATAATTATGTGCAAATTGAGAAATTGATCATTATTGACACATACCTTGGGAATTTATAAATGACTCTTCAGAATGAATTTTGAGGGTTAACTTTAATATATCACAGATGTATATATTATTTTATATTTCTTTATACTTTCTCTTATGAACATACAGATTATGTCTTATGTGCACTCAACAGGTTTACACTCAGCAGGCGAATATTCTCAAAGGAGTTCTGATTACATGAAACCAGATGCCAATTCATTTACAGATTTTAAAACTTCTGTTCATGGGATAGGCCTATTTTGACAACTAAACTACTCTTTCAATGACTTTCCTTCTAAAGTCATTTGGACTTGTACTCAAGCCATTTGGAAACTCAAGGTATATAACAAAGGCTGCAGATTGTCATAATTTATGAAGACAAAACAGTTACTGTTATTGAAATAAAATTCAACATGCCAAAAGTGAAGCCCTCAATAAGTTACAAAACGATAGCACTGGATGTAACTTCACAGTTTTAATTTCTCACACAACTGAGGAACTCCCTTATCCCAACTGTTGCAGTATCCCTGACAAATATTACCTTGCCTTTGCTTCTAAGGTTAGAGAGTTTACAAATTCACAAACCAGTACAGTACATTTTTAACCAGCTACAATCATTAGATCATCATAATAAGCTAAAATTTGCCTTTCTGAAGTTAGTTATTCCAAAATAAGCCTTATCAAATAATCCAATCCCTGTTCCATATATCATCTTTTTAGATATTTAAAGATTGGTCTACTATACATTTCAACTTGTAAAGTGTGGAGTATAATACAAAATCAATATATCTCTGACTAATACAGCCAACATATGGTGGGGCCATTTCTTTTTCTGTTCACTAAATTAGTTTTTGTGTTTTTATAATGTTGGCTCATATTGAACAAGCAGTCAATTCAAACCCCTAGTTCTTTTTCTTATAAAGTTATTTAAAGCTGATAAACCTGACTGATACAACTAAAGAGGGAATTTTATACTTATTCTTTATAAAATTTTTCCTTGCCAGGCTCATATTATCTTTAAGCCTATGAAAGTCTACTCTTAGCTTGATTCTGACAGTAAATGTGTTGGCTTTCTCTCTCCAATTTGAATTTGCCCTTAAATTCAAATTCTTGTGCCTTCATTTAAATTTTGAATAAAAATATCAAAAATATCAAATATAATTATTATTATCTCCATTATTACAGATGAGAAATTAAAGCATAAAAAGATGAAGTAATTTGCCTAAGGTCATACAACTAGTAAATGGTCAAGCCAGAATTTAAACCCAGGCAGGCTGATTCCAGAACTCATATTTTCATCATCTCCCTATATTTCCTTTCATTAAATAATTAAAGATTTATATTTATAAAACCAGTAATGAATATATTAGCAGAATAATTAAGACCACATTTCTTCAACTTGTCTACAACAAAAGACTTAGTTAAATGCTCTGTATCTTCCATGGCTTTTTCTGAGCTAGTAATCCTATTAAAACAAATTAAGTTACTTTGACGTGATTTGTTATGGTGAACTCATGTTGGCTCCCAGTGATCACTATTTCATTATCTGTGTGTTCACAAACCATCTGTTTAATAATCCTATTTTTCCAGGTATTGACATGGAACTCATGAATGTCGGTAATTTCTATGGTTTATGCCCGGTTCCATGTACTTTTGTGAAAATTAGGATGCATGCCCAATTTACAGCAGTACTCCCATTCTTCATGATTGTTAGCAGGATTTCAGAGTCAATTATAGATTTCTTAATGCCATGAAAGATCAATCGTCTAGGGCTGGAGACTAGAAATCATGTGAAGTAACTATCACCTCTCTCACAAAATCAGCTTACCCTCCTGATTTTCTGAATTTTGTTAAAAGCACCTAACAATTAATTAAAATTACTCATGGTGAAAACCCTGAAATTCTTTGATTTCTCGGTTTTCCTTTACTATATGTCTAGCAAGTTTTT